AACAGTTGTAAATCACTACAGCATGCTAGATGGGTCTTTATCTAATCGCCGTAGTCGGCATTCGACTCGTCTAATGACTCTGTGAAACCGGTACATCAGTTTCTCACATATTTTCCCTTCTAAGAAAAAGCAGAGTATATATAGCTATATTACGAAATGCCCTAGAATATAAATAACTGTCAGGGAAAAAAGAAAGAGCTTATTTTTATTTTATACCACAAACAATTTAGTCAAATATCTTTTATTTATGTATAGTACCATTTTAAATTTTATTGTGTTCTTGTTTCAATAACATAAATATATATTGTTTGTGTGTGTGTGTTTCTGCTGTGTCTACATTATAATATAAGAATTCTTTCTTCTTGTAAGGCTGTAATAGGTAAAACAAGATTTCATATAGTAACCTTACATTTTCTCATGCATATATTATTATAATGTTATATCTATGATAATGTTATCACGTTATTATTTTTTTTATTTATTCCATCAGAGATAAAAAAAACCAGCATATAATTGTCGTTGTTCTCGCCGCTCTTCTTTTCGTGCTTTCTTTTGGCGTCCCTCATCGAGGATATTTATCATCCAGGCCACGTTCACTGCGAAGAACCTTTAGAAAGTTGAAGGTATGCCCATGGGGCACACGAAGGTATTACTTTAGCCTCCAACGAATTCCCAGTCACGCGGCTACCGTCGTGAGATTAACATTTGGAACGAAAGAGACTCACTGGATTAGTAATTAGGACTTTGTTCAGGCGAATATAAGACGGAACATATGTATAACACGTTCGAATGATTGCGCAATTGTGTCAAGTATCTCAGACTGTTGTATAAATTGTCACTTGAAAAAATAACAAATTATAGAGTGAAATTTTGCAAGAGACGAGATAATTGCAAATCTATGAACGAACAAAAATAAATGACGACGTCGATAAATGATGTATTCATGACTTTCCGCCAAAATCTGGTCGCATGAGGTTTATGCGCGCGTGTATATTTGTGTAGAAAATCTAATCTTGCCATCATCTAAAATGAATTGCGTGCGGGTTCAGTTCACGGAACGGGCCGAATCAGAACGGTGGCGCGCGCGCTGTCACTGCAAAATGTGCGCGAGATACACGTGGCCCGCCCACGGATACATGTAGCCGTGTGGTATTCGGGTTATCCTCAATACCGCGTGTGGAAGATAGCCGCAGAATCCCGCGGGAATTTAATTTGCACTTGGCAGATAGACGCTGCCTCACGTACAAATGCCGAGCCACAGCCGTTTCGCTTGACGTGATAAATGTTCATATTTACAAATCGCATTTCGCTTATCAAACGCCACATTCGCATTATAGCGAACTGTAATTTAATACTCTATAGTACGAATTTTTTTCGTAAGTATAAAAAAATCTATGTAACTTGAGAAACCAGCAAAAAAACTTACTTCCGCGCGAATATAAATTACAAAACAATGAATTTACAATTTTCAACTTTTTTTTTCGATGTGTCAAGTAAGAGTTGACAATTACAATAAATAATAATAATAATAACTCTCTATGATTACAAAGAAGAAGTGCGTACAGAACAAGATGCGTACGCATCCACATTGTGACTAAAAATTAAACTAAAAAAGAATATCGATATACATCAGTATGGTATGACTTCAAAGTTACACGTTATAGAAAGTTAAAGAACAAAGTATAAATTTTGCGCACATACACAGTAAAAAAGAAATGTTAATTTTAACATTTTTTGCATGTCCCAGGAGATCCACTCTAAATTTTAAGTTGAAATAACTCATTCGTTGTGAGTCATTTATTGACAAACTAATGAAGTCAAAAAAGTTCTACATTTTGACGCACGATTTTTTTAACACACTGTGTATATATATGTACACAACATTATTTATTTATGTTCGTTTTGCACTTGTAACGACATTGTTATTTCGCGTTTGTAAAATTTTAGAATTTCATTTTAATATCGAGAATCTGATTTTATATATTTGAGGGAACAAGAGATGCGCCCGAGAGATAATTATAAGATATTGTCCCATATAAAATATTGCGTCCTAGATACATCTTATATAATTCGGCACACGGGACCGAGATCACGGCCAAGAAATTTAATGGACACGAAGAGGAAGAGGAGGCAGGTCGCGAAGGTGGAGTGGTGTGGCGCTTCTGACAAAAGCTTTAATGACGTACGATAGTAACCTTCGTGAGAAGTGCGATACATATTCCGACTGATATGCATATTTAGTACCGTTCTATAACTCCCTGTGTAGAAATGCAAGGGGCATTCTGCCAAATCAGCAAAATTGAATCGGAAAAGAATTTTTAGGCAGAGCGCTTTGTATTATGTTATTATTATATTTAGCGTTATTAGTATCGAGGTAGATGCGCGCGCACATTCTTTTGTTTTGTTTGTCTTCAGAACTGAAGACAAACACTCGCTTGATTAGAATATCGCGAGAATTGCGTACATTTATTATTACGCTTGTATTCCATAGTTTCTATTATGTTCAGGAACAAACACAGAGCGCTGTGACAAACGATATTTCTGAAAGTAAAATTAATTCAATCTAATTTAATTACACCCGATGGGACGGTTTAATTTGCAACAATTAAAGTTACCCGGCTTTACCGAGAGATTTATAATCGCCAAGCCGTAAATAATATAGTTGACGCAATTAGCAATCACGTGTGTCGTCGGCGAATATATTATATTACATCGCGAAAATAATGAGTCTAATTACTTTCATGTCTTTTAATTTTTTTTCATGTTCGCTTGTAAAATTTCGCTAATGGTCTCGGAATCACGGCTAATCACGGCAGCCGTATATTTCATTTATGTCGTCCATTATTAAATTCTTTGGATCGGTCAGATCGACCGCGCGCGCTGTTCGATTTGCATTAGTGCACGTTAAGTCGCGTGCCGCGCACACTCCCGGTTAAGGCTGCCTATTTACCCGCGCCTTCGGGTGTTGAATTTTTTTTTCTCGCGCGCGGAGGCTGGTCCTCCGCTTTTCTTCTTTTACGTCCCTCGAGTAGCCTGAATTGCCGATAGTCATCGCATGTCGTATCGCGAATATTTATAGAAATTTTGCATTTTTGTTCTGATTATGCGCATCGGCGCGAGACTCGCTAAGTGCCGATTGTTGCGTGTCGTGTTGGCACGTACAACTTGAAGGATACGGGAAGAGGGAGGCGGATCGTTGGGACGAAATACTTATCGTGATATGCGACATCAAAAGTCCTCGCGGTAATTGCGGTTTTTTTTTTTTTTTTTTTTTACGTTAAGAACAGCCCGGTGTTACTTCCTTCTTTAATAACGCTGCCACACATTACCTATATCCCGCCGTTCGCTTAAAATTGCATCGAGCGGTTCCTCGCGGCAAAAATCAATAATGAACCGTAATAATGGCGCTGTTATTGTTAGCGGCGTGTAAACGCGAATGACGCAACATGCACATTTCGCTTCTCTAATATGTATGTATCACGCGCGTGCGATGTAAGGTATGCAAATAAGATATCCGACTCGCAAAGACAGTTCTTCATTTTTCATATACGTAAACACACGTCAACATGTAAAATTTTAATGAATTATCTGTTTTAACTCAAATATTTTTCTTTCATCTTATAATTAAAATCTTTATAATATATGTGAAACACAGAAAAAAACACAAACCATTACAAATCAAATACATAGTAAATGTTAAAAATACTTTTGTATATAACTCAACCTAAAATTGAAACCTAGCGGCGGTAACGCGTATAAGAAAAAATTGTTCAGAATGATCTTAAACAACATATTTCAAAATCATTGAAATCGGTGAAGTGATCCACTTTCTAAACAATTATCTCGGTTATAGGTGATTTGTATAAACATTTACATTAAGTAAGTCTCCCAAACAGATGATTCTTTAATGTAAGAAAATATAATGGCTTTTTTTTTTGAGAAATGTTGTACTTGTTTGAGATAACGCTTGATTACTTCCACGCGCAAATGTCACTCATAAAGTGACATTTCATTTCGTCTCATTCGAGTCAACCTTACCGCAAATTATTACCGTTCATTTTTAATAAAAGAAATTAGATTTATAAACTATGTTGCAATAATAAATAAATATAGGAAAAATTATTTAAAATTGTTAAAATCAGGAATTTTTAAACCATTGAAATAGCTAAAAAATAAAGATTAAAAAATCCACTCGCTATGTCTAATTTTACAAAAATGCTGATAAATATCACATGTTATGTTTTTAATGAGCAGCCTGAGCTACTCTTAAAATCTTGATGAAGTGAGCTGAAATGGTTCACGAAACGTCGGTATAAAAATGACATCAACGCGGTTCAAACCCGAAAAACATCTTAGAAGAGTATCTTTCTTTATTTAGTAATCAAGATATTAGAGCTATATGACACCTGACCCAATGTGACAATTAGCCTCGATTTCTCCTATTTTGGTTCAACTAAAAATAATTTAATCAAAGTATTAGCCTGTAAAAGTGCCTGTAACTATAAATAACATTTTTTCTATTTCACACACAGTTATGAATAAAACATTNTCTTAAATGATAAAGATATTACACGAAAGAAAGGTATTACACATTGAAATTCCTGAGAAAAATATACGAGTTTTCTATGTCTGTGCAAAAATATATTGCTGAGTTGATCGTTGAACGTGTTTTNGACTAGTTCCGATTCCATTTCTCTCCAAAGNTGATAAAATCGCGGAGTGGAAGATAGATCAGAGATACGTCAGCGCGACTTCCGGAAGCCAAATNTTTAGAAAAGCCACGTGTCAGCGAAAATACATTTTGCACAACGTTTTACCACAACGTTGTTAAGTTTATTTCACTTTATTGTCACCTTTCNTCTCATGTCATTTGTTGCTATTATNCACAATAATGCATTTTTCATTAAAATGCAATATCTATACAAGTATTAGTAATANCGCGTTACATTGANAATATTCGTTACATATTTGTGTAACCGAGATNATTTTTCTATTTTCAGGAAATCGCCGCTATTTTAATCAGTTTTCAGAGGCACGCCGAATGGCAAAGTCGGGAGGTAAAAGTACGACCACGAAGTGGTTCGATGTTACTGTACTCGAGGAAGAAAGTACGCTACCGACGGGACGGTTATTGCTGGAAAAAGAGAAAAGATGGGAAGACTACACGGGAAGATCATATGAAACTGAAGGTAACTTCACACGATTTTTGTCTGTAAGATTACAAAAGAGAAAAAGAAAAGATATACAGAGTGTCTAAAAAAAGTTTGACACAGCTGAAGTATAAAGATAGATTGAGTCAATCTGGACAGAGAAGTCATTTATCATTTTGCAAACTGCAATGTGTGTTTACTGAGTTATTAATTAATGATTAATGTGAGCCAATGGACGCGTGGAAAGCGATGATCTCCGGACTCTTTAGGCGTGTATGATTTTCACTTGCAAAGAAAAATGGCTTATCTTACGCAGTATCTTAACAACGAAAAAAAAAACAAGCGAGCGGCATGTGACACAGCTTCTTGCGTCAAGTGATTTTTACAACTGAAGAATCATACAAGCCTACAAAATCCGAATCATCGCGCTCATTGGCTCATATCCATTGATAAATAAATTCATGAAAAATATTGAAACAATGTTGCAAATCAATCTATTTGGTCAACATCGATCAAAATTTAGTAACATCACATTTCAACGATTTGTAAATAGAATAGATTGCCTTTTCTAACAATGCCTGCAGATTCTGTCAGGTGTGTCAATCTGTTTCAATAGGTCCAGGGAGTCGAGTGCATCTACGGCTGTTACGTGCACTCGGCGATCNTTCCGACGTTTCATCGCCGGTGTTACTGGCTACTGCAGAATCCGGATGTTGTTCTCGTCCATTACTTGAACGTTCCTTATCCGGACGGTGATGCGAAGCTGGCGGCTTTGCCACCTTGTCTCGCACTGCCGCCAGACAAGAAAGAGTGGACGCGAGACGAGCTGGCGTCGCAATTAAGGCCCATGTTCCTCGGTGGAGATGACAATCCTCATCTTACACAGAATCATTCTGTCGACATGATAGTCTCTCAACTGCTCGACAGACAGAGGGCATTTTCCACCTCCTCCACCAGCAACACGCAACTTGCACCTAGGAGACTTACGCCCGACAATCAGGTATATACGTATCTGATGCGTAAAAATTAAAAAAACTCTTTTTTCACAATGATTTATACACTTATAAATCACNATAGTTTAAAACTTCAAATTTTATATTGAGAATTTCTTGTATATCAAGCGTTTTGATACAATAAAATCATGTTTATTGTATATATTGTATATTGACAAATCTCAATGTTATTGTTCAAAAAAAAAGGTATCTTCAACAACGGGAGGTCAGCAACCGTCGACGACAGCGGCTCCGGCTCCCCGCGTATACTCAAGACATTCCCATTCCGCTCAGAGTCAACAGCCGGCTCCTCTAGTTTTAAGTTTACAACAAATCCAAGGCGGTGGTGGTCTTCTGATACTCAACAGTCAATCATATCATCATCAGCAGCAGCAACAGCAGCAACAGCAGCAGCCGCAGCCATCGCAGCAGCAGCAGCAGCAGCAGCAACAGCCGCCACAACAGCAGCAGCAGAGTCAGCAGGTGGAGATGCAACAGGTCAAACAGGAGCAGCAAATTGTGCCACAGACAAGCGTCGACCGAGAACAGCAAACGCTCAAACAGGAAATCGATGCACAAGACAGCATAGACAGATCAGCCGTGCAGCCTCTGTCAATTGGTGGCACTAGCTCGGAGATGACCGATTTTGCGGAGACGCTGGATCTGAGTCAAGAGGATATTCAGAGGACACTATCAGCCAACATGGTGCCGCCTTCGCCGTCGCCCTCGCCGGCTGATAACAACATGATCAATCCGATGGATTTCATCGATTCGTCGGATGATGTGCTGGTGAATCTGGACGCGTTCGATGTATTCGGCGATTTGCCGGAGCTGCACGACTTCGAGCCCGAACAGACGAAGCACGAGGAACAGCGGGGTGGTCCCGAGAACGACGTCGGATGTCATCCTGGTACAACCGTCCATATTGCAGAGTATAGTCCTGAGTGGAGTTACACCGAAGGTGGTGTAAAGGTGCGTCGAAAACGATTTACCTATGGCTTCTCTTTTGTTGTCAATGATTTATAATTACGTACATTCAACTTGATTCTTAGTTTGTACAGAGACTGCTGATCCAAGAGATCCTGGATTTAAATTCGATCGGAACGTTGGATAACATCGAAATTTTTTTGAATCGCCTTTCTTTTTCAAAACAATAGCAAACTACTAAGTTGTTATACTTTTTGTCGTGCCTGTGACTTCCTCTAAACAGTAGTGTCTTTAAGAANATCTAGTGTCTTTAAGAACTTCTAGTGATTCCAAGTCCACTTAAAACTGTAGGCTCTTTATGCGCTTATATATACATGAATCCGCATATCACGAATGTAAGAATAAAACTACGGATTCACTAATATAACTATCGAAGATTTAATGAACAAATAAAAAAAAATAAAAAAAAATAAAAATATTCGTGAACATTTATTAGACACGATTTGTATTTTAGGTATTAGTTGCTGGTCCTTGGACTGGCGGTAGTGGTTCTCAATCATACTCGGTGCTTTTCGACACGGAACCGGTTGAGGCATGCCTCGTGCAACCAGGTGTATTGCGTTGTCGATGTCCCGCGCACGCGCCAGGAATAGCGTCCCTTCAGGTGGCCTGCGACGGTTTTGTCGTGTCCGATAGCGTTGCCTTCGAATATCGTAGAGCGCCGACGAGCNAACCTAGCCCAGAAAAAGCTTTACTAGATCGCCTTGCGGACGTCGAAGCCCGTCTGCAGGGCCCTGGTCCGCCGTCTCCCGCAGNTCATCTGGAAGAGCGACTGGTTGCTTATTGCCAGGTAAAACTTGTAGANCTTTATTTGTCAAAATATCACTGATTCTTTGAACTCTGATCGGAATTAGAACACGATAAGAAATTTGTTTAAATTTTTCCGTGTAATGTATCGCAGGATGCTGTTGTCCGTCCTTGGCGAGCTGGAGCGGAACCTCTTCAATCCGGTGGGCCTACTCTCCTACACTTGGCAGCCGGATTGGGATACTCCAGATTAGCCTGTGCACTCCTTCACTGNAGAGCGGAAAATCCTAGTAGCGTTTTGGATGCCGAAGTCGATGCTCTTAGGCAGGATAGCGCCGGCCTTACGCCACTTGCTTGGGCTTGCGCGGCAGGACACGCTGACACCGCCAGAATTCTTTACAGGTTTGTGAACAATCGAATTTGCACTTGACCAACATTCATCTAACATTACTTATGAATAAGTGATTCATAGAGTTATGACATCGCGATTTCGTCTTTTGTGTGGCTCGCGACTCGCCTTGTATTACTGAATAAAATTTTAATGAATGTCTTGTTTGTTAACTCTGCTCTCTCTAGATGGAACGCAATGGCGCTTCGCGTGAGAGATTGTCAAAATAGAACGGCAACCGAGCTGGCTGCAGAGAACGGCCATACGGCAATCGCCGAAGAACTGAATCAGCTTGAAGCCCGACGGCAAGACGAAAGGCTCTTCTTGCGACCTGCCAGCCCTAGTCCTAGAAGNCCATCTCAAGACAGCGGTCTCGATCTGGCGTTGTGTTAGTCTCGTTTGCTATTATATACTGCCCTCTCTTCCGTATACACGCACACATTTACGTAAACCTATATACACGTATAATCATACCCTTTTTCCTTGCCGATATAGCGCTATTATTTATATATATGTATATATATATGTATATTCTATATATATGTACATATATATATGTATATATATTCTGTTCCCTACTTTGTGTAAAAAAAAAACCGTAGAGTCACAAAAAGTCGTAAGTCATGCGAGCGTAAAAAATCAGGCAACGTATATAGCATTTAAGTGGGGTTTATCGAAAAACACGCAGGTGGCTCGCCGCTGCTGGACAACATGGATTTGTTGCAAGAAGATGAGTCGTCGTTAGGCCTCAGCGAACAGGGAATGGAGAGCGCTCCGACCCCTCAGGAGACCGTAGGTCCGTACCTTCCTCGTTTCCTCTTCTATTTGTCTGTCTGTCTGCCTGTCTGTAAAAACTATTCGTAACTCTGTCTGTTCTCTCTGTAACACAATACTGATAGAACGAATCGGTCTCTATATAGATATACTACATTCACGTGGACTGCGAATTCCGTANAAATTCCTAGCTGAAATTGCGTCCCTNGTACACACGGACATAGACACAGACACACATACACACCATTTACGTAGAGACATATGCGTAACAATTGTNCTTTTTCTCTGTGTGCGAAACCGACGACTCNGCTGCCTTTTCTAACTCTCCTCTGAACTCTTGCAGCTTTAAACAATTTTGGTGTTGCTTGGCGTTCGTAATTGCTGGTGTTGNATGAATTGCTGTGTAAACGTCTAAACTTTCTCTTAGCTACTAACCGACTTTAGTGTCGGGTATCGGAAGTCTATTTCTCTATGCGGCGATAATCAGGACTGCGCGATATAACGAGCAGTAACATATCAAGTAAAGTATCATCTGAATAGACGCGCGAGATCTGTTCAGCCGACCAACGTGGACGGCAGCTGGCTGCTCTAGACCTTANACGANATTTCTAACAAACNAGGAAGCGCCTCATTTTCCGCCTGGGACTTAAGTAAATTGTGTCGTAGAGACGCACTTGGTGTTAAACATTTTATCTGACATTGCTGACAGCATTCTCGGTGCATCGTAGAACACGTTCACGGCTTTTAAAACCTCGGTGTTGTGATCGATGTGATTTCGGCGGCCTGCCACCGCGAGCTTTTCGAGTTTTGGCTAGGGTGGTGATTCCTTTTTGTAGGGGAAGAAGACGCGAGGGTGCTGACATTGGCAGAGCAAATTATAGCGGCGCTACCGGAAAGAATCAAGAGGGCGGAGGGTGATTCTCCCTCTTCTTCCTCGCCACCACCACCCACGGCGCCTCTGTCACCTTTGGAAGACGCTTTAATGGAGCAAATGGTAAGCGTAGTAACAGATATTTTTTTTAATAAACAAAAACGTCACAGAGATATATATATATATATATGTGTAGGTTACTTCTTAAAAAATTTAAAAATATATATTTTACAAATTAAAAATATAAAATATAAGTGAAAAAATATAGAAATGATGAAGGTGTGTGTAATAATAATCGCAAGTAATATAATAATTATGCAATATAGCAAATCAAACAATTTTTAAAGTTTCAAATATGTGATATATAATAGTAGGAGAAAATAATATAGCTATAATCAGAGAGAAATAATAATTATTGTTAGATTTAAGTAAGGAAGAGAAAAAGAGAGAGAGAGAGAGAAACATAATTGGGAATGAAACTTCGAGCACAGAGTGGGAGTTCCTNCAGATGACTGAAGTTTCTAAGATGTGTGCATCTCGTCAATGTAAAACCCAATGCTCACATGCTAATTATCTTGCTTGTAGCCTCTCGATTCCGGGNAACTGTTTGACTCGTATCGCGACTGCAGCGGCGGCGCCGCTTCCGTCTCAGACGCGGACGCTGACGCGAGTCCGTCGAGTCCTTCCAGCAGTTGCCTGACGCCGGACTCACCGTCCCCGCCGCCTACAACCGCCGACTTTTGCGAGTTTCTGCAGCTGCAGCTGCAGCTGGACGGCAACGGNAACGCTCACGGTCAGTACTATTCTTCAAACGGTGGCGAACNNAAGTTGAACGGCATGATCGGTTCNGCCGCNACCGGAAACGGCGACGGCAACGGCAACGAGGCGGATCTGAGCAGACTGACGCTGTCCGATCGCGAACAACGAGAGCTCTATCACGCCGCCAGGATGATTCAAAAGGCATACAGAAGTTATAAGGGTCGCCAGAGACAGNAAGAAACCGAAAGGCACGCCGCTGTTCTGATCCAGCAGTACTATCGCCGTCACAAACAGTACGCCTATCACAGGTAATTTGTTTTATATCATTTTGTTAAATATCTTTTNGTCAGATTTATTCTTAATTTCATATATTAAGTTAAAAGAATCTTCAAAGTATTCAACAAATTTTAATATTTTTTTCTTGCTGCTTTTGCTGTCTTGCAATGAAAACTTTATTCACTTCAAAAGTCTATTCAAAAACGAAATTAATCACTCGCTGTCGGGACTACAATAGTGCTTGCTACTTAACTTACACNACGCGCGCATGCGACGTTTAAGATACAGATTGTCCAAGTTTATACGAGCATCACGTGTTATCAGGTGGAACTCAAGGTTGTTAAGCATGACAGATCATTATCTCGCATTGCGCGGACATCGCCGAATTATTTNAAACTTAGAAAGTTAAATTTCCATCGATATTCCGTGGAAAGGAACGGGGCGGGGGAGAGGAGGGGGTATGTCTTAATAAGCGACAATTAATAACCGAGAGACAAGGCGTACCATTGTGGGACCGACTTAACGACTTCCGACTGAATTAGACTGATGCCACCAAAGTTCGACCCGCGCGCATCCCCACGGGGGGCGAACTTTTAATTGGCATCGTAAATAATTCCGAAAACTTTGCGAACTTCGTTACGGTGGCCTGAATACAGAATTAAGTTGGCATTAAATTGATACGACTTTTGTTGAAGAATATACCGGTGAGTTCCTCTACCGCCACGTATTCTTCGAATTATGTATGTTGGCGATTTGAACTTCCCGGTATAGTAATATTTTCGAGAAATGAGTAACAATCCANCTGATTATTTTGCATATCGCAAACAACACAATCTTTTATTTTCTGATTTACTGTAGTGCAATATAACGGACGTATATAAGGGNGCGATTGATAAGTATCCGAAACAAAAAGATAAACNACAATTGTCGGGTTGTATTTATTTTTCAATATTGGTCGTCTTTTACTTCAATACACTTTTTTGACTCGTATCACTTTTGTAGAACAATTTCTCGAACTCTTCAAAATAATTANATTTACGATATCGATGATTTCATTGTTGCTNAAAAATTTCTTTCCATCCGGTTTTTCAGATTCGGGCGTAAGTGGATATCACACAGAGCCTAGCGAATAAAACAGTAATTAAGGGCAGTAATTCAAAGTTCAANTCGCGTAAATTTTATAGCCATTATAACAGTTGAAGTGTGAATCATTTAGTGTTTACTTCGGGGAGCTGTCTCATAAACACTACGTGCGATAACAAATTAACATTTGACGCTTATTATGCAAGATGAAACTTGTTAACGACAACACACAGTGTGACACTACTATCGCTATGTATGTGTTATTTCGAGTACTTTATCAATTGCTCTTCGTAATAATAAAGAAAGTAGTTTTTGGTGGAGTCTACCAATCTCTCTCTCTATGCTACTGAATACTTTATGTATGTTACCATTGTTTCCAGTTTACGTTTTTTTTCCTGATACTTTTATACAAGAACAAAAAAAATTATCTAGTTCCAAGAGAGATTCGATAGAAACCAGCCGTGAACAATATTTCAATATCAACTATATCCTTGAATATTTAGGATTTATTACATTGTTTTTTTTACAGACAAGCTACGAAGGCGGCTCTGGTGATTCAAAANAACTATCGAAACTATCGCGCGCGACCAGGCTCTACCAGCACGAGGCAGCAGGCAGTTCATCAACAGGCGGCCCATCAGGCCNCGCGGAAGATCCAGCAGTTCATGCGGCAGTCCAAGATTAAGTTAGTATCTTATACCGTATGTATATGTGTGTACAGTGCTGCATTTCTTGTTGCAACGATGTGCACGTACATTAGTTACGTAGTAGAGACTTCTTGTTAGCACACGAGAAAGGCTTTTTTTGTACCAAAAAAAAAAAAAGAAAAAAAAAACAAAAACGACAAGTGTTCTAAAGTCTCCCTCTTCTGTGTGTCACTAATGCAGCTTGTCGTGGGACGATTCACGACCGGTAAGTAACGAGACCTTATAGTAGTGCGAAACAAGTGACGGCAAAATATATAGTGCTTGCATTGTATCTCTACTCGTTCCTGTCTCTTTTGTACCGGAGAGAATTAAACGCTTTTGTCGTTTATGTGTGTCTCTCTCTCCCTCTTTCCCTCTCTCTGTTTCTCTCTATCTATCTATCTATCTATCTGTCTATCTGTCTGTCTATCTATCTATCTGTCTATCTCTCGATTTTGCACCCTATTTCACAAATTAACGAGTTACCTGCGCCTACATATATATATAGCGGGATCATGTTATATCGTGCGTTATATCACGTTTGACGATGCTTCGTGTTTATTGTTTGAATGTCTCGTTGTTGTGTATATATATTCATATTCTCTATCTCTGTACTACTACAAAACCGTGTACATATTACATCAGTCGCTTAACGACGTAGAACTATCAGGTTCCTCAATGATCACTCTGCCCAGCAACCCGTGCATGAATACACATCAAAACGTAATGTATACTCGGACAATATTGGAATTTTAGTTTGAAANGTTTGTTTTGTTGTGTCACTATAGAAGAATGTCTTCCCTAAACAAATTTTAGATTTAATTTCCATATTAGATTTAGTCATATTTCCGCATTCTCTGTGAATTTGATTGAATAAAAAAAGGTATTTACTATAAAAAAAAAACATTATCTGATTTGTAAATAATTTTTGTATATAGAGCTTACAGTTTATAGTACTTTTATTTGTAAAATAAACACTTATATTTGTAAGTATTCAAGTATTTCAAAAAAACATTTAAAATGCAGCTGTGTAATGAACAAAAACTGTTTGTTGTCGTTTCAATAGAAGTTTTCAACGAAGCAAAGTGTTGATCGAGGAACGCTTAGATGCGTTTTTTTTGTCTTTTGTCTTATTACGATTACTGTTATATTGCTTGATTGATCGTTTTGATGTCACATATGCACATTCTTGTGGGAACAATGCGCCCGTAATGCGCGTTTTATATATAAAACAACCATTTTTCTCTTCCTTCAATCAGACTGCAGAACGCCAGGGCCGTCGCAAGCGGGAACGGGAGGCTGCCAGCGGTCACTTCACGGGCGGTTGCTGTCCGCCAAAGCTCGCCCTCATCTAGCCCAGGGGCCAGCCTAGTAGTCGTCAGCCCGGAGGTCACCTAACTGACTGTCAATCCAACGGCGCGCAGAATAGCGACGACAATTCGGCAGCGAAATAACACGGTCACGATGATGAAAAGAGCGCAGTGAGATGAACAGACGACGTCTTGGAAATCGGCGACAACGCTCTGAGAAAGTATATACTTCATCTTGCGACGCGAGGTCGTTAGCGCGACAACAATTTACACCAAGCAACAACAACAACAACTACTACTACTACTACTAATACTACCACTACGAGAGGGTACCAGACGTCCGACACGGATGATACGCTTTGTTCTCTGCGTCTCTGATTGCGTGCNCCGGTTGTTGACCCACTTGAAGTCTTATCTCATAGTTATTCCACTACCTTTTGTCCCCCTCGCACTGACAATGAGTTCACACTCGAGCACTCGCGTTTCATCCTCGACCGCTCATTCGTTTCGCTTCTACTTGACTTGTACTACTTACCGCATTCTCTTATATGCGCTCCCGCATCTTCCTCTTACGTGTACGATTGTATCGAGCAAACGAGCATTGATTGAAAAACANATGAATCCTATCAAGTAGGTTTTTGCTAGAAAGTTCGTGCGAGATCGATCGACTCNAAGCATGCTTGTAGAATAACACGATTTTTCTTTCCGCTTAATATGTAAAATATATCTATGGTGTGTCCGTATATTTCTTCAAAAATATATAGGAGAAANCGCTAAAGGATCAGCTTTATCCGGTTATTTAACGTTGATTCTCTCTGCTGCATCGCGGCAACATCGAGCGCCGATGAACCGTTTTCCATTAATATTTTAGTAAATTNCCGTGTGCATCGAGCTGAATCGCACAAAACAAAAAAATCGTTGTCCGCTTTCGTAGGTTTCAGAGATAGTTCGCGAGGTTTGCTGATGAATTCTACCGATCTGTAAATGTTTTTTCAGATGAAATATTTCTTNGATAAGAGGCTCTTCGTAGATACATAGAGATACATAGTTCTTCTTTTAATGACACTTAGTGAACTCTAAAAAGATTTTTCGGGGCGAGAANAAATGCGTTTAAAAAACTGATTGTACAAACTTTACAATGCTTACAGTACGGAAAGCGAACGAATTAAATGTCGCGCTTTNCTCAATCTTTCTGCGTATTGCAAACAATTCATATTTACAATTAATATTCGAAAAATAAGAAAACAATCGGTTGAAGTTAATCTCTGCCTGAAGAAAAATCTCGTCAGATTTGGTGTCATCAGTATTATATTGCTCACATCGACGTAGTTTTACCGTTTCCTATGCGCGAAGAAATATTCATGTATACAGATTGTTGCATCTATTTTTCCGACGTGGCGGCGGCGTCTATTAATCATTACACACACGTGTGTGTGTGTGTATAAATTTACTTGTGCACAGAAAGCATCTAATAATTTTTCTATTCTTCTTCACATCTATGTTTTATCAATTGTCGCTTCTGAGTTTTACTCTAAAAACTGTTTTAAATGAAACTGCTGCTAGGATCATATTGACGAAGAATGATCCTTCGGCAGAAAAAGAAGGAGAAGAGTCTTTCTCGATAAGAGAAAAAAACTTTGAATTTTCACGCGTGAATTCTTACATCCGAGTTCGATGTTTTTTGCGAGTTTGTTTGTTTGTTTGTTTTTTACTTTGATTCGCGTGTTAGTCCACGAAGCTCACGCTGACGTTAATGGACGATCAGTTAATGAATTTTATGAGCGAAGGTGAGAAATCTATTCTAAAACAAAAGTGTTGGTGATTTATAACATTTTAACGGCAGACAAGCCAAGACTCGAAAATACAGAATTAAAAATGGTCGAATATTCGTCACGAATTGTGACAACCAAGGTCGTTGATGCTTCACGAGATTAGGTTTNTGAATTTCGATCGCTATTATGATCGGTATTATTGTGTGCGTCCATTTTTTTATATTTCTACCAAAGACGTAGTAGTTTAAATTTAANTGATTCACGAAGCTGGACACATGCATTCCTATGGCTCAGCATGACCGTGATAGCGTGTTAACGTCGAGAATCCATTTGTACATATAGTAGATGCGGAAGTACTGACGTTTATTAACGTGTT